CCAGATCAAACTAATCTATGCAGTAGCCAAATCGCTCCCTGACAATTGTAATGCCGGTAGCTCACAAAGTAGAATTTTTGCTCACAAGACTCCACAGCTTAGAGGAAGCATTGGTTAGGAGTGCGGACGCTAATCTGGGAGAACCGGGTTTGATCCCCCACTCCTCAACATGCAGCTGCTGGTGTGACCTTGGGTCAGTCACAAGTTCTCTCAGAGCTGTTCTCTCAGGGGCAGTTCTCTCAAGAGCTCTCTCAGCCCCACCTGCCTCACAGGGTGCCTGTTGTGGGGAGGGGAAGGGAAAGGAGTTTGTAAGCCGCTCTGAGACGCCTTCAGGTAGTAAAGGGCAGGGTATAAATCCAATCTCTTCCTCTTTTCTTCTTCACTGTTATGGTGCTTTATCCAAAGAGCTGGTTTAGCGGTGGGTTCAGGAAGTCTCTGGTTCAAACCTTACTAGGACGGGGGTCCCCAACCTTTTTGACCCTGCAGGCACTTGGGAAATTCTGACATACTATGGTGGGCACAGCCACAAAATGGCTGTCCAAGGAGGTGGAGCCAGCCACAAAATGGCCGCTTCCCTTCAGCCAGACAGTGAAGATCCTTGTGCTGTGGCGGCACCTGCTGCCAAAGCAAAACATTTTAAAAACGGCAAAAGCCAATCAAATCTCCGGTGGCCAATCAGAAGCCCCGCTGGGAAATGTCCCACCCGGCCCCTCCCCTTTTCTGAAAATGCTTGGCGGGGGGCGGGAAATGTGTCGCTGGGGGCCATCGTGCCACATCTGAACCTTACGTGAATGCAAGCGTTAAATAAAATGTTAAATATCCACCTCCTGACCAGATACACATTTGTGTTTCAGAGCTGCCGCTCAAAATCCTTCTCATGCTGCTGTTCACGGTGTTCAGCTTCTCTTCACTGAAGGCAGTCTTCAGGTACGGACATAAAGCGGCGGCGGTGGCGGGAAGTGTTGTCAAGTCGCAAGTGACTGATGGAGACCCTGTAGGGTTTCCAAGGAAAGATGTTCGGAGGTGGCTGACCGTTGCCTGCCTCTGTGTAGCAAGCCTGGACTTCCCGGGTGGTCTCCCACCCAGGTACCAACCAAGGGCGCCCTGACCAATGTTCCCTCTAAGCTGTGGAATCTTGTGAGCAAGAATTCTACTTTGTGAGCTACTGGCATTAAAGTTGTGAGCAGGCGATTTGGCTGCTGCATAAATTAGTTTGCTCTGGAGCCATCCCTTCCTGAGCTAGGACAAAAATGTGTGAGCCGGAGGCTAAAAAACTGTGAGCTAGCTCACACTAACTCAGCTTAGAGGGAACACTGGCCCTCTAAGGCTAGCCTGCTCTCTTCAGATCTTGGAAGCTAAGCAGGGTCAGCCTGGACTAGTATTTGGATGGGCGACCTCCAAGGAATACCAGGGCGACGACGCAGAGGCAGGCAATGACAACCCATCTCTGAAATGTCTCTTGCCTTTAAAAAAACAAATCTAGCAGCCAACTAGCGGTGCATAATGCTAAAGCCAGTTTGGCGTAGTAGTTAAGTGCGCCATGGACTCTAATCTGAGAGAACCGGGTTTGATTCCCCATTCCTCCACTTGCAGCTGCTGGATGACCTTGGGCAAGCCCTAGTTCTGTCAGAGCTCTACTCTCAAGGGCAGTTCTGGAAAGAACTCTCTCAGCCTCGCCGACCTCACAGGGTGTCTGTGGTGGGGAGGGGAAGGGGAAGGAGCTTGTAAGCCTCTCTGAGTGAAAGGCAGGCGGGAAGGTGGACTCTGTGGCATCATACCCTGCTGAGATCCCTGCTCTCCCCAAACCCCACCCTCTCCAGGGTCCACCCTCAAATCCCAAGGAATCTCCCACCCTGGAGTTGGCAATGGATGGGACTGGATCAAAGAGCTGGACCATGCCAATCCTAGGCAAGGCAGTCCTGCCTAAATCAGTGGTTTCAGACTCCACGGAGTCTGTGCTTCAAACGGGTACTCCCTAGAAGCAGCAGAAGAAGAAAAGATTGGAATTATACCCCGCCCTTCACTACCCAAAGGTGTCTCAGAGCAGCTTACAAACTCCTTTCCCTTCCCCTCCCCACAGGGGCTGAGAGAGCTCTTGACAGAAACGGCTCCTTTTCAAGAACAGCTCCTATCAGAACTATGGCTTGCCCAAGGTCATCCAGCAGGTGCAAGTGGAGGAGTGGGGGAATCAAACCCGGTTCTCCCAGATTACCGTCCGCACACTTAAGCACTACACCAAACTAGGAAGACCAGCTTGATCCTGGATATGTTTATTCAGGAACCTCCACCTCATCCAATAGGATATACTCCTCAGGAACTACGTCTCAGTTCTGTTTTCTCCAAGGAATAAACATGCGGTCCTCCCCTCCCTCATGCTCACATCGGCAGGTAGCTGATGACATGAAAGATCTCAGCCTGAGAGTCTGCCCATCAGAGGAGACAAGCCAAAGCTCAGTAGACCAGCCGTCTCACATCCAATAGGATATACTCCTCAGGAACTATGTCTCAGTTCTGTTTTCTCCCACCCTTCCTCCAAGGAATAAACATACAGTCCTCCCCTCCCTCACGCTCACATCAGCAAGTAGCTGATGACATGAAAGATCTCAGCCTGAGAGTCTGCCCATCAGAGGAGACAAGCCAAAGCTCAGTAGACCAGCCGTCTCACTCGGCAGAAGGCCGCTTCGTATACTTTGCAAAGATCACCATGCATGAGCTGAGGATTCAGCAGTACGGAAAGGCTGTGGCCCAGTGGCAGACCCTCTGCTTTGCATGCAGAAGGGTCCCGGGTTCAATCCCCAGCATCGACATTTAAAAAGGACCAGGCAGTAGGCAGTGTCCCCTCTGAGATGAGTCAGTGTGAGCTAGCTCACCGTTTTTTAGGCTCCGGCTCACACATTTTTGTCTTAGCTCAGGAAGGAGGGCTCCAGAGCAAACTAATTTATGCAGTAGCCAAATCGCTCGCTCACTACTGATCCAGTAGTCTGATCCAGCAGGGCTCTTCTGATGTTCTTTTGCTGGATCAGACCAGTGGTCCATCTAGTCCAGCATCCTGTCGCACAGAGTGGCCAACCTGTTCCTTTGGAGGGCCAGCAACAGGGCAGAGAGGCCGAGGCCTTCCCCTGATAAGAACCTCAGAAGAGCCCTGCTGGATCAGACCAGTGAGGGTCCATCTAGTCCAACATCCTGCCTCACACAGTGGCCAACTAGTTCCTCTGGAGGGCCAGCAACAGGGCATAGAGGCCGAGGCCTTCCCCTGATATTGCCTCATGTCACTGGGATTCCAAGACTTAGTGTCCCTGAACATGGAGGTTCCCTTTAGTCACCATGGCTAGTAGCCATTGAGAGACTTATCCTCCATGAATCTAATCCCCTTTGAAAGCTGTTTATTCCTGCGTCCATCACTACATCCTCTGGCAGTGAATCCCACATTTCAGTCTCTCGTTGTGTAAATAAGTAGTTCCTTTTGTCCGTCCTGAACCTCCTGTCCATCAGCTTCATTGGATGCCCTCTAGTCTTTTGGGAGAGGGAGAAAACGCTCTCTTTGTCAACCAGGGGTCATTTTGTAGAAAAAGAGGTGCAGGAGCTCATTAGCTCAACTCATTAGCATAACTTATTTGCATATGCCACACCCTCTGACACCACCGGAAGTGTGTCAGAAGGCAACACCCACCGCTCAGGCTCCACTGGACTGTTTCGGATTGCTAGCTATAGGGGTGGGGGTGGGGAACGTGGAGATCTGTCCTCGCAGAGGAGGGAGAGCTTGTACCTGAAGAAAACTTGGTCTTAAAGGTGCCACTGGACTGTTTTGGACTGGGGGGGGGGCTCTGCAGCTTACCTGGCTGCTTCTTGCTCTGACTGAGGGCTGCTGGGAGCAGGGGGCGGGGCTTGTTGCATGTGCCCGCCCCCTGGGCCCTTTACTGCCGGAGCTCCACTCCTGTGCGCTCCTGCAGGAAATGACCTCTGTTGTCAACTCTCTTCTGGAACTGATCGCTCCAGAAACGACTTTATTAAGTCCTTCCCTCTCCCCCCTCCTTCACAGGAAAGAAGGCCCTTTACTTAACTGGCTGGAAACGATCTACCTCACCGGGCTGATCCCTCTGGAAATCTTCTGTGAAATCGTGTTTCCTTTCACCCCTTGGACGCTCAAGTTCCCCTTTCTTCCTTTATTGCTCACCTCGGTCTATTGTGCTGTCGGCATCACGTACGCCTGGCTCAAATTATACATCTCCGCCTTCAGGGGACCACCAGCCATCAGGCAAAAAGAGAAATGAGGAGGCACCAAGTCCTTTGGCGTTTCTCCCGGCCATTAACCAGTGCTAAGCCCTGAATTCTCCACAGCGATTAGGACAACGTGCCACACCACCTCCCATTCCAGAAGCAGGTCTCGTTTCATGAAGACCTGGTGGGACCAAGGGAAGAGGAAACCCTCTCAAACAAGCAGAGGCTGGTTCCGGGTTGAGAAAGCCAAGGGATGAGTTTGATTAGGACTTTCTTCCAGAACCAGACCTCCGGAATGACACAGAAGCAAATACCGGTTGCCTTAATGGTCCAACGTGGTTTTTAATTGCTAAATGTCAAGGACAATCACTGTTCTCCAACGAAGGGCGCAATTACAATCATGCATTGAGAAAGATGTGAATAAAGTGTTGTTTTTTAATACCAGTAAGTTGTATGCGAGGTTGTTGTCGTGCCAGTTTGGTTAAGTGCGTGGACTCTAATCTGGGAGAACCGGGTTTGATTCCCCACTCCTCCACTTGCAGCTGCTGGATGACCCTGGGCAAGCCATAGTTCTGACAAGAGCTGTCCTTGAAAAAGAGTAGTTTCTGTCAGAGCTCTCTCAGCCCCGCCTACCTCACAGGGTATCTGTTGTGGGGAGGGGAAGGGAAAGGAGTTTGTAAGCCGCTCTGAGACTCCTTCGGGTAGTGAAGGGCGGGGTAGAAATCCAATCTCTTCCTCTTCTGCAAGAACACGTCGTGTTTTGCATCTTTTTGGACAGTTGTGCAGTGGGGTAGTTTCCAGATGGGTAGCCACGATAGTCTTTAGTAGCTAAGTAAGACCCCAGTGGTGCCTAAAGGTAAAGGTTCCCTTGCTCGAAAGCCAGTCGAATCCGACTCTAGGGTTGCGGTGCTCATCTCCGTTTCAAAGCCGAAGAGCCAGCGCTGTCCGAAGACGTTTCCGTGGTCATGTGGCTGGCATGACTAAACACCAAGGCGCACAGAATGCTGTTACCTTCCCACCGAAGCGGTACCTATTTATCTACTTGCAATTTCTTGCTTTCTAAGTGCTAGGTTGGCAGGAGCGGGAACTAGAGATGGGAGCGCGCTCCATCATGCGGCACCCGGGTCTCGAACTGCTGAACTACTGACCTTCCACAGCCTGCAGTTCAGCGTCTTAACCACTTGAGCCACCACAGCCTTGTGGTGCCTTGGAGAACGATAAAACTCGCCTCAGCTGATGCTTTTGGGACTTAAGAGCTCACTTCATTACATTCACCACAGGCCAGAGGCATGACAACTTCAATACGATATTTTCTTATTATAGTGCATATATCTCTACAGCAGTATATATCGTAGTCACAATAAATAATTCACTATCATTCTCAAAGAGTCCGTTCTTAACTATTCGTATGACAAGCACAATGGTTAAATTCTTGTCTGTCTGGGAATGACAATTGGAGATACGGATTTTGTTCTGCTGCCTCTTTGAGAAATCTGAGGAGAAACAGAACTCGAGGTCGACAAGCCTGTCGGAGGCTGCGTTAGAATGTCCATAAATCATCCACAGTTACTGGATTTGAAAGAACAAAGGACATCGGACTGTTTAGTACAGCAGAAGCACTTTATTTATTTATTTGGATTTGTATCCCGCCCTCCCCGCGAACGGGCTCAGGGCGGGTAACAACAATATAAAATACAACATATTTAAGACCAAATTAAAACAACAGTATACAATGCCATACTCCTAAATACCATGTCAGCTCAGATAGAAGCATATCAGCAGTGGTGAAAGAGTTAAGATGTTAGGGTCCAGGCCACTGGTGGGGTTGGCCACAAAAAGGGGTGCTGGCTGCCTCATCCGAAAGCCTGGCGGAAGAGCTCCGTCTTACAGGCCCAGTGGAATTGTAGTAACTCCCACAGAGCCCTGATCTCACTTGGGAGCTTTCTGAGTGGAACAGGCTTCCTCGCTAGGTGTTGGCCTCTCCAATGCTGATTCTGTGAACTTGAGGCAGATCACAAGAAGGAAGGGCAGGAAGGGTTGCCTCAGTGCTTAGTTCTTGTAGGAAATGCCGATCGCCACTTTGGGGTCAGGAAGCAATTTTTCTCCAGGCCAGTTTGGCTGGAGATCCTGGAGGGTCTGGGCGTGGAACAGGGGTCACTGGGGGTCTGTTTGGGGGGAGGTATCTGTGAATTTTCCTGCCTTGTGCAGGCGGTCGGCCTAGATGACCCTGGAGGTCCCTTCCAACTCTATGACTCTATCCGATTCCTGACTGCTGTTCCCCTCAACATAAGAACATAAGAGATTCCAATGTTGGATCAGGCCAAAGGCCCATCCAGTCCAACACTCTGTATCACACAG